TTTTTTCCCCCCCCCCCCCCCCCGCCCCACCCCTCCCACGTGTGTAATTCAAACGCGTATGGAAATTGATATGCATAAAGAAAGTGCAGTATGACCTTTACGAGAATTCCGATGGAAATGGGTTTAAAGGAGTCGATGTGATTATTTCAGCTGTTGATGTGTGTCGCTGAAGTGGTGAGGGGACAGTACAATGAAGCGGATATCGGAGCTTTACGGCAGGGGCCGGGAGCCAGTACCAGATTGACGGGGAGATTTGCACCTAGGCAGAGCGTGAGGATTGGCACTCCGGTGGTTAGCAGTAAAATCCGACGGCCGATACCTTTGAAGTAATTTTTTTGCGCTTTTGGGCAAATTTAGATGTCGAGGGAGGACGAGGGGATTTTTCGGGAATTTCAAGAGCTGAATAAAGGGGGGGATGCTTCCCGTGTCCTCAGAAAAATTGTCATTGCTGAAATGTAGGAACTTGAGACGAGCATTTTTCTTCAATAGCTTGAATAGTTTGCATGATTTTTTGACTAATGAGAGGTATAAATGAGAATTATTTCCCTGATGCGCACACATTCGGAGATTTAAGGCACTGGAAATAATTTACTTTTGTTGAATGCGTGTGGGGAAATGTTAGGAAATTTAATGGTTTATTTTATTTTATTTTTAGCTCAGTGGACACTTCTTGGAAATTTTTATCATGGAGAAATTTAGTTGCATTGGAAGTTCGAGGGATTTTGTAATTGGAAATTTAATATTCTGGGGGAAAAATCTGTGGAAGCTGTGAATTTTGATGCAATTGATGCACGAGCATTAACAGAAATCATGAAATTTAGAGTTTTGATTTAAAATTTTGGATGATTTGGTGCTGAATGTTCATGTTTGATTAAAAGTTCCAGGCAAATGGGGAATTCTTGCCTTTCAGATGTTCAAAAATTCGGAATTTCGTTAAATTTTCAGCGAAATCTGAAATTTTATCATTTTTTGACACTTGAGCCTCGACAAAATGAACGTTCGCGAGAAAAATTTTACCATCTTTCATTCATTTGAACATACTAGTAAAAAAACTGAAGTTCAAATTAGAAAATTGAGCTCAGGACAATTTAATTTAAGTCAAAATCCAGGAGAGAAAAAAATGAAAAGAATAGATTAAACAGATTGAAGAAAAAAAAAAGAAAATTCAACATTTTGAGCAAAAATCAATGGAAGTTGTGAATTTCAATACAATTGTTTCACGAACATAAAAAAAAATCATGAAATTTCAAGTTTTGATTAAAAAGTTTGGATGATTTGGTACTACAATAAATATTTTTGTTTTGATTGAAAATTCAAGTAAATTGAGGAACTCTCGTCCTTCACCTGCTCGAAAATTTGTAATTTCACTGAATTTTCATCGAAATCTGAAATTTCATGATTTTTTGACCCTTAAACTTCCGCAAAATGAAGATTGATCGCAAAAAATCTGCCATTTTCCACACAATCGACCATATTAATCAAAAACTGGCGTGCAAATAAAAAAATTGAGTCCGAGACAATTCAATTAAAGTCAAAACCCCCTGGAGCAATTTTTCTTTTAAAAACCCGTTAAACAGATCAACGAAAAAATTTCCAAAAATCCAACCCAAAGGCTCCGAAAAACAATTTCACTAACTACATAAAATCCTCACGATTTCACCCTATTCTCCCTATTAATCTCTAAATGCTCATCAAAAACATTAAAGAATTCTGCACTCAACATTGACAAATTCAACTCTACTCAATCAATTACAAAAAAAAACTAAAAATCCAGAACAAGCAACCCCAACTTGTTTGACTCCACCCCAAGAAAAAATATATGAAAAACATATATAATATACTCCAATTTTGTATATTCTTCGAATATGTATAAGATTTATATAAAATATAAATTTACATCTGTTTCATATCTATTTTATCTAGGGGAGAGTGGGGTAAAACGGCCCCTTTTGATTTTTTCAAAAATGTTAACAGCTCATTCAATTTCAAATAAAATGGAATAATTTTTTTTCCATGGAAACTACACGTCGTCCCCTTTAGAATGAGCTTAGACTAATCTCAATTAATGAATCTGTTCCTGAGCTATGAGTATCACAAAAAAGTCAAAAGGGGCCGTTTTACCCCACTTTCCCTTATTTTCTTTTTCTTTGTTACATAAAATAGATATGAAATACATGTAAATTTATATTCTATTTTTTTTAATTTATTCAGCCACATGAATGCCATAAGGGCTGTTATTGTAACTATTAACAATATAAAATTTATATTTTATATAAAATATATAATTATCAGAATTCCGTATACNCTCTCACTGTCAACAATTTATCATTCAGATCGCGCCCAGTGGCAGCGGAGCCCCTGGAGATATCCCCCTTCAACCTCCGGAACACGCGTCCAGTCTTCATTCCGCCGACACGCGAGCCCTCGACCCCTCCCCCGCAGCCGCAGCAGGACCAGCCAGTGAAGCCAGTGAGCGAGGAGCACGAAGAGGAGCCCGAGGACGCAGCGCAGGCGATCTCCAGCCTGGGCTCGATCTCGCAGCCCTCAGCCCCCTACATCCCCAGTTTCTTCTCTTCCCAGTCGACCCCTCGCCCCGAGCCGCAGATAATCCACTACCGCCCGACGGCGTCGCGACCCCCGCCCCCTCCCCAGCCGCAGCCCCTCCAGGAGCAGAACATCTCGCCCGTTCAGTATCGACCGCAGAAGCCCCTGAAGATTCGCAAGCCCATTGAGGAGGTCCACGAGGTGCGCGTTCCCATAAAGCAAACGCAACTGGCGTCCAACAAAAAAACGACAAAGTCGGAGTATCGGGGGAAGAAGCCGGTGGCTCAGGTGATTCGAAGGTGGCGCGAGGACAACGAGGACGGCTCCATCACCTGGGGATTCGAGAACGACGACGGCTCCTTCAAGGAGGAGATCATCGGCGTCGACTGCATAACCAGGGGAAAATACGGTTACATCGATCCTGACGGCATACGAAGGGAGTACACGTACGAGACTGGGATAAAGTGCGACGCTGATCAGGAGGACGAGGAGGAGCAGAATGGATTCGTTGATTATTCGGAGAATAAACTAGTCCTACCCAGTGGCAAGACCATCGATCTGTCGAGCATGGGGAAGAAACAGGCGCGCAGACCTGGGCCCATTTACAGGAATTGAAATATGACGGAGCTCTTCTGATTTATTAATTATTTGATTAAGTATTTTTAATTGAAAGCATGTAAAGTCTTTTGTACAAAATGAAAATGTGTCGATAATCTTTGGAGTATTTTTTTTTCCTTTTGGGGATTAGGTTTCGAGTTTAGTATTTATGGTGATTTGATCATTTTTTTATCCAATTTATTGTGGTCTTTTGATGGGGAGGATTATCATTCATTAAATGAGGATGTTAATCCTTGATTAATAAATAATACATGTCTTTATTTCATTTGTCGAGGCTGTGGCAAATATTTTTCTGCTGAAAATCGATAACTATTTATCATTTTTTAAATTGAAACCTGAAATTCCACTTTTTTCCATTTTCTTTTCTTTTCTTCATTTATGTAAATAATTCAGTTTTTCTTAAGCACTGCTATTTACATGAATAAGTGATGTGCATTCGTTGAAATTTATTGGTCCACTTTATTTCTCAACTTAATGCATTTTGCATAAAAATAATACTAAAATCGTTAATTTTTAATGAATTAAATATTAAGTAATATCAATTTGTATTTTTTCAATGAAATGAAATCGATCGAATGAATATATTACCTCTATAAATTATCAAATATCAGGTGTGAAATTGAAAAGTGTACGAAGTACTAGTAATTCACAAGCATTTTGCAAAAATATATCTTACAGTCTTAATGATACAAGCCCATCTCTATCGTTAGCCATTGAAGACGAGGAAAAATGCAGGAGTAATAAGGAACAGGCGATGGCTCGCTCAATAAATATCTCGAAGTGATGCAACAAAAGGCCATTACATAATTAATCTCATCTAGAGATTAATGATCTCCGATTATTAAGCCCCAATTAAGCCGAGGAGATACGTTCCGCATGACAATTCTTCTCATTTTATTTGAATTTTTGGATTAATAGGCTGGAGATGTTACTGTTGACGTGTTTTTTGTGATCTCGTGCTCTCCCTGGGCTGGGGCACCAGTTTTAAAGGCCCTGAACTTCAGCCAGGCGTCGTAACCATAAAGGCACATGGCACAGAATCCAAAAAACTGAAAAAAAAATTTTTTTTTAATCACAAATATACAATTGCATTTTTGCTTCCAAATGGGTTCTCTTTTTTAAATTCTTATTTCACTGTTCTCTTCTTCTATTTTTTCATGTCGTAGTACTATCATCAATTGAAATGTCATCAAAATTTTTCGTATTATTTCGTTCTGTCAAATGATTCTACATTCAGATCCTCTCAAGACTCGAATTCGTTTTCAGTCCGGGTTTAATCGAGGTTCAATCAAGGTTTAATCAGTGTATAGCCGGGATTTAATCAGGGTTTATTCAGGATTTAGCCAGAGTTTAACCCAGGTTCTGTCAGAAGTTAGTCGGGAGCATGAATCAATATGAATAAGTATTCAACATAATAGACTGGTACCTGAGTTTAATAGAGATAGAGATTTTTATATAAAAAGCTCATGACGGTATTGTGTAACTTGATAAGCAATGATGCTGTTCTCACCATTTTTCAACTTGATTAAGAAGCCATTGAAATATACTTTTCAAGTCCTGATTTAATTGCTGTTACTGATAATTCTTTCAGTAATCATGAAAAAACCGATTTTCTCTTTCAAATCGCATAAACAATGTGCTGTAACTCAACAACCAACTGTGCGATCCCCATCATATTCTGATAGAATCAAGAGGGTATTGTTATCAATTTTTTGAGCCATTACTAATTCCATTTTGATGACAATTTTTAGAGCAATCGTTGAAAATTCGATTTTCGAAAAATATCAATTTTTTCGAATCTATGAAAAATTGAATTTTAATTGGTGTCAATGAATAGAACTTATGAAAGTCTGTATTTCATGAAAAAAATTATGAAATTGAAAACTTAAAGTTGAGTGATTACAAAGTTTTCATTCAGAACCAAAAACAGAATTTTTTCTTTCATTGAATAATCACGATGAATACATGATAAATAAATATCATTCGTATTCATTCATAATTTCTTCTGTATTATTGATCAACAGTGAACATTACGATTGACCAAAAGTGTAAATATTCTCAATATAAATAACTTTTACACTTTCAAGAATTAAAAATATGATTCTATTTCAATAAAAAAAAAAATTTTACCGCAGCAACTCCATATCCTTCACTGATTGACGTGTAATCAGCTGCTAGTGATGCAGCTAATAGGTAAAATGCAGTCCAGATTCCACAGAAGATCAATTCCTGGAAGAAATAAGTCATCAATAAAGACGAAATATCTTTTAAAAAATTCGTTCCACTAATTCCCAACTAATTCTTATGCTATACGTAATTATCGGAGTTGGTGTGTCCTACTGCGAGGGATGCTATGAGGTGTTACTGTGGAGTTACAACTTGAGGATTAAATTCAGCCCAGAGAGTTACGAATTACGTACCTGCGAAACTCTCGTGCCTCCCTTTACTGTTAATCATAATTGAAAAATCAGAGAAATAGTCAAAAATTGCTCATTTCTCCTTCATGATTGAGTTTGAAATAATAAAAGTATGTGGGTGAGGGTGAGTGGAAATGATGTGTGAACATTTTGTTCTGTAATTGAGCTGAATGTAGAGCAGGAAAATAGATCGGTGCTTACTATTTTAATCCACGGTATCCGGTAGAATTTTTCAACCACGTGAAAAATGTACAGTGCGAGGAGAATACCGGTGAACCAAAATCCGCCCATTGCAACTGTGTTGAACCAATTCCCACGGCTGTCATTGCTGTATCTCGACACTGTTATGCAGATAAATCCTAATAGATCTAGTATCTAAAATCGTTAAAAAACATTGGAGTGAACAAATTATTAGAATAAAGTTGTAAAATAAAGTATTGAATTTTAAATTTAAAAAAATATTGAATTTTTAATATTCTTTTTTTTAGGAGAAAATGTCAAAGGAGATTTTTTTATTTTTATGAAATTCTTCCTCTTATGAATTCTTCATTTCTTTGAATGAAATAAAATGAAAAATTGAAACGAATGGTTTTAATGGGAATTGATACTGTGATGCAGATAAATCCTAAGAGATCTAGTATCTACAATAGTTAAAAAACATTGGAGTGAACGAATTATTAGAATAAAGTTTTAAAATAAAATATTGAATTTTAAATTTAAAAACATATTGAATTTTTAATATTCTTTTTTTTAGGAGAAAATGTCAAAGGAGATTTTTTTATTTTTATGAAATTCTTCCTCTTATGAATTCTTCATTTCTTTGAATGAAATAAAATGAAAAATTGAAACGAATGGTTTTAATGAGAATTGATACTGTGATGCAGATAAATCAAAAGAGATCTAGTATCTACAATAGTTAAAAAACATTGGAGTGAACGAATTATTAGAATAAAGTTTTAAAATAAAATATTGAATTTTAAATTTAAAAACATATTGAATTTTTAATATTCTTTTTTTTAGGAGAAAATGTCAAAGGAGATTTTTTTATTTTTATGAAATTCTTCCTCTTATGAATTCTTCATTTCTTTGAATGAAATAAAATGAAAAATTGAAACGAATGGTTTTAATGGGAATTGATACTGTGATGCAGATAAATCCTAAGAGATCTAGTATCTAAAATCGTTAAAAAATAATGGAGTCAACAAATTATTAGAATAAAGTTTTAAAATAAAATATTGAATTTTAAATTTAAAAAAATATTGAATTTTTAATATTCTTTTTTTTAGGAGAAAATGTGAAAGGAGATTTTTTTATTTTTATGAAATTCTTCCTCTTATGAATTCTTCATTTCTCTGAATGAAATAAAATGAAAAATTGAAACGAATGGTTTTAATGAGAATTGATACTGTGATGCAGATAAATCCTAAGAGATCTAGTATCTAAAATCGTTAAAAAATAATGGAGTCAACAAATTATTAGAATAAAGTTTTAAAATAAAGTATTGAATTTTAAATTTAAAGAAATATTGAATTTTTAATATTCTTTTTTTTAGGAGAAAATGTGAAAGGAGATTTTTTTATTTTTATTAAATTCTTTTTTTTGCCGAATAACTCCTCATGAAGATGATTAGTTAATTAACAGAATGAAGTAAACATAAAAATTGACACGAAGTGTTTAAATGAAAATTGAAACTGTGATGCGAATAAATTTTAAAAGATTTAGTATCTAAAATTGTTATAAAAAAACGTGGAATAAATAAAGTATTATAATAAATTGACTTCAATTTTTTTAGTAGAAAATAGCAAAGATTTGTTATTTTTATGAAACTCTCTGTAACATTTATATCTCTTGAAATTCAGTCAAATTTAAAAGAGAAAGTAATTAATCATTGAAAACTTTGAGGAAAAAAGAGGAAACAAATTTTTAAAATGAAAGTTAATTTTATGATTTCAATCCTTTGACGTTTAAAAGAACAGATCAGTGATTTTCTCACCACTTGTGCGACTTTGAGCATTCCCGGAAGTGTCCTGATATAAGAAACATCAAGGCGAATATTCCTCTGTTGAGTTGTACTGCTGGTGGTGACTGTCGTAGTAGTCGTGTGCTGTCCAGGAAATCCCGACTCCATTTTCACTGATTTATTCTTCAAACAAAATTCCCGAATCAACTGATTGTCCAACTGGGACGCGTCAGCCCGAGAATTCCCTTTAACTCTTCATTACCCTGAATAAGTAATTGAGTTACGTGGGGGCGCGTCTAATAATAATGACTTGTACCGCGTGGGACGCGTTCGGGGGGCGTCATCCCGCGTGGAACTGACTTTCAAAACGAAATTCACGTGTTTGATAAGAATTTCTCCGCAATAAAAAGGCATTCGGCACGAATTTCATAATTTTGATTCCGAATGGAAACTTCATGATCGCTCCACTTTGCATAAATTTTTCCGAATTTCATAAATTTTTTCATGAATATCGACTTTAACAAGCTCCATTCATTGAGACCAATTAAAATTCAATTTTTCATACAGAATTTTTCCGCAATGAAAAGTCATTCGTTACGAATTTCATAATTTTTTATGAATATAGACTTTAATAAGCTCCATTCATTGACACCAATTAAAATTCAATTGTTCATGCAGATTCGAAAAAATTGATATTTTTCCAAAAGCCGATTTTTCAACGATCACTCAAAAAATTGTCATCAAAATGGAATTAGTCATGGCTCAAAAAATTGATAACAATACCCTCTTTTCTATCAGAATATGATGGGGGTCGCACAATTGGTTGTTGAGTTACAGCACATTGTTTATGCGATTTGAAAGAGAAAATCGGTTGTTTCATGATTACTGAAAGAATCATCAGTAATAGCAATTAAATCAGGACTTGAAAAGTATATTTCAATGGCTTCTTAATCAAGTTGAAAAATGGTGAGAACAGCATCATTGCTTATCAAGTTACACAATACCGTCATGAGCTTTTTATATAAAAATCTCTATCTCTATTAAACTCAGGTACCAGTCTATTATGTTGAATACTTATTCATATTGATTCATGCTCCCGACTAACTTCTGACAGAACCTGGGTTAAACTCTGGCTAAATCCTGAATAAACCCTGATTAAATCCCGGCTATACACTGATTAAACCTTGATTGAACGTCGATTAAACCCGGACTGAAAACGAATTCGAGTCTTGAGAGGATCTGAATGCAGAATCATTTGACAGAACGAAATAATACGCAAGATTTTGATGACATTTAAAGTGATGATAGTACATGCCATGAAAAAATAGAAGAAGAGAAAGTGAAATGAGAATTAAAAAACAGAACTCATTCAGAAGCAAATTCATAATTTATTATCAACAATAACTACACTCATTGACAACAAAAAGATCGATTTCTTCACTTGTCGGTATCTCCCGTTCGAACGACGCGATTTGAATGAATCAAAGTCTATATTACCCCCTGAAAAAATGTCTCCCAAATGAAAGAGAAATCGCGAAAAAATAGTGCATTTCATTCCTGCAATTAAATGTCTTATCTCTTCCGATTAATCCCCCTTCCTTATCTCACGAGAAATAATATTGATCATCAAAACGAATCATAACACAAACATAAATCGTCTCCTCTGCACACGCAGAATACAAAAGCCTACCAAATTAAATATTCAAAATGAAAAAAAAATGTCTCGCAGGTTAAACACTACTTTCACTTCTTCCTATTTACGAATATGAGTTTTCCGGAGTCGTAGTTTCGTGGATCGATGGACTAGCCCCGCAACGGCGTAAGCGAAAGCATAACAATGAACCCCCATTGAATGTCCAATTAATCAAATCGATAAAAAAACCACCGGTCAATGGGCGATCGAACCCGCCTCTCTGACCAACTGCGATTGTTACTCACCACTTGAGAGAAAATAAAAAATAGTTATCGCCTGGATGCGGTAATACGATGATCTAACTCGCGTCCTTCGCTCCCTGTCTCGCTTTACAAACCCCGGAGAACTCGTATATTTTCGGTAAATAACGGAAAACCAGTTTCGAGTATCAAAAATGCGACATCCACTCTTTAAATAATTTCCTCATTAACAATTGAAATTTTTTTGAATTTAGTGCAAGCCGAATTGTCAATTAAAATCGACGGATATATATGGCGCGGAGTGGGGTGTTAATCAAATATTATTATGGGAAATTCTACGATACCTCTGGAAAAATCGCAGGAATTGAATGTTCTGTTGTGTACAGCTGCTGTTCGTGAAATATACAATGAATGCGCCTCAAAACCCACTTTTACACTGTGTGACTGCGTTGCGCGGCAGATGCGAATGTCTTTCTTTCCTCTACCAAGAAAATGCCATGAAATTCCCTAGGGCTTGCATAGTTAACGATGGAATACTATTTTTTATTTGTTTATTCATATTTTATTTCGAGATGATTGTTTTGATTAATTAATGACTGTTTTAAACGGTAAAGATTAATTATTCGTGGGAATTTTTCAGGAACTATTTGAAACAGTGTTTTTCGGGGTAGAACTGGTGAAGTACTATTTCATCATTTAAAAACGAAAATTTCATAATTTGAGAATGATTCCAAATGGCATTTTTTTAAACTAAAAATCAAATACTGTTTCATTTGTCGTGTTTCAAGGGATTACTTCATAGAAATCTAATGAAATAGTATTCAAAATAGTTATTTCGGGGTAATTATGCAGTCAAACTAAATACTATTCTCTCATTCGTGCTTCGAAAACTGAAATTTTATTGTAACGATGAATTAAATTGATTAATTCGCAAAAATCAGAAAATTGATTGCAAAATTGATTATTTGCGAATTGATTAATTCGCAAATTCATGAGTAAAAAACAGAAATTATTTCATACAATTGTTCATGAATTATTCTAAATAGTATTTTTAGCAGCGAAATATTGAAGTCCTATTTTATAACAATATAAATGATTCCAAATTGAATTTTCATGATTAAAAATATTTTCAAACTATTTCTTTCTCACTTTAAATAATTCAATAGCCCCAATAAATAAGTGATTGAAATAGTTAAAAATCAAATTGTGTTTTCTCGTTTCAAAAACTGAAATTTCATCATAACGATGAATTAAATCTACTAATTCGCGATATTTCATGTATAAAAAACAGCAATTAGTTCATGCAATTTTTCATGATTCATTCCAAATAGTATGTTTTTTCGATCGAAACATTGAACTCCTATTTTATAAATTAAAAATAAAAATGATTCCAAGTAGAATTTTCCCGATTAAAAATCAAATACTGTTTCGAATGAAATCGAATTAAATACTATTAACAATACTTATTTCGAGTTAATTATCGAGGCATGCTGAATACTATTCGTTCATTCCTGAAAATTGGAAAACTAAAATTTTATCATAACGACAAATTAAATTTATCAACTTCCTATATTTAATGAATAAAAACAGAAATTATTTCAAATAGAATATTTTTCATCTTTCGTGCTTCCAAAATTGAAATGTTATCATAACCAATTAAATCCGTCAATTCGCGATATTTTACGAATGAAAACCAGAAGTTATTCCAATCAAAAAAAATTTCCTCATTAAAAATATTCCCCCACTATTTTATTTCTCGCTTCACCCACCTCAAACCGCCCAATAAACAATTGATTGAAATACTGACAACTATTTCGAAGAATTCAAACCCTAGTTTCCTCAGTCCTACCAATACCCCTAGGCGCCACCAGCGCCGCCCCCCTCAGCTAAAAAGAAAAATTAGTCATTCGCTTGCTGTCCTCCATGACAACGTCGCACTCGTTCGCTCCGTTCTGTTCTCTGCATTTTTACGCCGCTCGATTCCACTCCGATCTGATAAATCCATCGAGAAATCCGTAAGCCACTGCATTAATTGCCCCCCCTCGCCCCCACATAAGTGAGCCATCACATAAGTGAGTCGTATGTGTTGACTACGTGGTGCGTGAGTTGGAGTCACCTCGAGGCTTGTCCCCCC